AACATTACAACACTTCCTTTGATAACGGTTGATTTTTTTCTCGAGATCTCAACTTATTTTTCCTGTTGTGTAAAACAAAGGTGGTTTTCCCATTATAACAGCTTGATTTATTTAATTATCCTGCGGTAACACTGTTTATTTTCTTATGATAATGGGGCAATTAGCTGGTCATCTAGTTAACACAACAATAGGCTTGTCACTGTGACCAGACCACGACATGCCGTGCTCCCATTGCCAACACTAATGTGCTATAAGTATAAAATTAAGCCTATTTCTGTGTTTGTTGTGTGCTTTTGCAACTCTGGGGATATGAGATAAATCATTTGAGCTCTTGCGGAAAACAACCGCTAATTAGTGGTTATCATGTAAAAAACAGAGAACATAAAATGTATGGATGCATGTCCGTTTAGGGCTAACATACATCAAACAGTCCAAAACAGTCTTCAGACTATTATATGTGTCAAATGATAAGGAATACTACACATTCATGAGACCAAAGCAACTTTTGTTCTCATATTGTGTCTTCGCAGGTCAATAGCATGCAGGCGGTTCTTCTTCCTCATTGGCACGCTGTACTTGTACCGCTGTGTCACTATGTACATCACCACCTTGCCTGTACCTGGTGTGCACATGACTTGTGCTCCTAAGGTGAGTAACATGCAAACATCAGAGGCGGCATCAGCTGTTGTTGCTCAGCCGTGTTGTACTCTCGTTCACCCTCTGGGACTCATTGTGCACAACCATGCAAGAGAAGCAACTATAAAAAAAAAAAAGCCATTTTGACTTCAACTGCCTCAGGACACCAACAATATTGAAGTGCTTCAGTGTTTTGAAAAACATGTGCTCTCAGGCAGTCGTTTGCTGTGTTGTGTTGTGCAACGAGTGAGAGGTCATAAAGTAGATCAGTACCATAGGTTCTGAAAATGATTTAGTGTATGAAAGCCTTTTGCTACTAGTTATATTCAGAAATGTGACTCAAAGAAGTGAGTTACCATCAGTAGCTTAAGCAACAAGCACAAGATAAGATTCATGTGTAATTTATGATACAGTATCTTTTATTTCCTTCAAGTTCCTTCTTTTTTACTGCACATTCCCGTCCCTTTCATTACCATGTCCATATATAGTCGCATAGTTAAAAAGCCTGACTGAAAAAAGAACGGAATGGTTTATCATGTTGAGAAACAGGTTTTTTTGCTTCCTTACAAATGTTATACGAGAGGATTGGAACATCTCTTATGTATATAAGGTACATTTCAAGCTATAGCCACTCAGCTCAGCATAATTACTGGAAACAGTTGAACGCAGCCTGGCTCTATCCACATAATGTACTATAATGATATCTTATTTCTTTAATCCACACAGTTGACAGATTGCAATGTTCCTGAACCTCACTATCGTCAGGTTCAGTCACGATCTTGTCATTGCTTTGAGGTTGCCATGTGCTGGTTGTGGTGACCCTTTAAATTTCCATTTATTCCCATACATGTTTTATTATCTATAAGGCCTAATCTTTAGGCATAACCAGAAAAGTATTAAAGTATAAGCGCGGCGCTACACTGGGGCTAGGGGGCGCTATAGCCCCATCCCAAATCTGTCTAGCCCCGGTTAAGCCCCCTCACGAATGTTTGCTTTTATTTGAAAAAAAGAGAGCTTAAAAAGTAACTATGAATCGACTATTAATTGCACCCCGACATATTAGTCAAGCTCCCCCTCCTCATCGGGAGAAATTTAAAAAATCCTGCCGCCATCTTTGTATTTATCTAGCAAAAATGAAAGAATAATTATCTAATTATCTATTAGCTTTTTAGGCAAAACAACGATCTTATGATGTAATGTGTTTTTTTCTCTGCAAACTGTAATGAACATTGTTCTGACATAACAGAAAACAATATTCAAAAATTACCTGATCATTGAAAATAATCCTAAACTGCTGGCCTCATGTTGTTGCTGATCCTGTGTTGATCTATTTATCCCTCTCTTTGTCCACTTCCTGTTCGCTATTAGCTCCATGGAGACTCCCAGGCAAAGATCCAGCGAATCCTGCGTCTGGTCTCAGGAGGAGGTCTGTCCATTACGAGCTCCCATCTCTTGTGTGGAGACTTCCTGTACAGTGGACACACGGTGATGCTTACTCTCACCTACCTGTTCATCAAGGAGTGTAAGTACTACTCAGGGAATTTGTTGTTTGTTTGTCTATATGGAACATCTTATGTGAGTTTCATTAATCTTGTATGAACACGTGGACCTCCTGGAGTCTAATAGGATACAAACGTGACATGTGGTGCAACTATTACAGATTTATATTAGCTTTCAAGGTTTTTGTGTCATATCTTCCCAAATATGTTCACAGCAGTTAAGAAAATGTTAAAGTACAAAGTCAGATGTTTTTAATCTAGTCAAATTTAAATAGTTTATGAGTGCTTCAAATTCAACATTTGGTCAATTTAAAGGCTTAAGCTTCTTTTGCTACCAAATTATTTTGTGTTATACCAAAGATGTCAACAATGCTGTCCACCATGCTGTATAAATTAACTGTTTCAACACATTTTAAAGTTTACAACCTTCCTTATAGGATTTCCTATCCAGGCTTTTGATATTAGATAACATAAATGTGTGTGCAGGATATAATAAAGCTGCACAAGAAATGTGTTTTTTGAACATGAAAATGTATGCTGTAAAGAGGAAATATAACAAGATGTCCAATAGTTTAATTTTCACATACTATATGCTATCTACTGAGGACTGCTCCTTTGCTTGTGTTGCAGAAAATCCATCTTTTCTTGTCACATTGCACTGAAATCAAACACAGCCTCAAATGGATGTTGTCATAAATCTTACCAACACTCTTATCCTTCCTTTCCTCTTTTCTTTGAAGACTCGCCGCGATCATTTTGGTGGTATCATCTCATGTGCTGGCTGCTGAGTGCTGTGGGTGTGGTGTGCATCCTGGTGGCACATGAGCACTACAGTGTGGATGTGGTCGTGGCCTATTTCATCACCTCCCGCCTGTTCTGGTGGTACCACACTATGGCCAACTTACAGGTTTGAACACTGGTTGACTGTGTGTGTGTGTTTGCTGATCTAGTTTCACATAGCTGTATTTTCTTAACAATGTTTACTTAAGTGTAGCAGTTAAGTTTATGTTAAAAAAAAGGGCATATGTAATACAATAATCACAGTAATGAAATCTTAAAGACAGTGTGTTAGACCTTCACTTCAACCTGTCAGGATGAGGCTTTTCAAACACAGTGAATTACCCCCCTCTACTGGCCAAAATTTAGACAACAGTTAATACAATGTTTGGTGACAAGACATTTTTTAAATGGTAAGTTTAATTATTATATTGTAATTGTATGGTTAACATGTTAAACACTAAAGCTTTAACTTAAGAAAGGGCTTTAAATGCTGGTCTTGAATGCTGATTTAAGTTGAAATTTGATGTTGTTTTTAATCCCTCTATTAATATTATTTTATATCAAAGATATATTGTCCCACCTTGAAAAAGGTTGACACATTTTTAAATGGTGGTCTTTTTAAATTAATGGTCTGTTACACATGTTTTTCTGTTTGTCTGTTTGTATACCCTCTGAGGAATTATTGAATAAACAATCAACACCATTAATGCTTTTATTCTAAATGAATCGCTTTTACTTTCCTTGCAGACTCTGAAGTGCTCGCCCAACAACTACCTCACCAACACCTGGTGGAACCCGCTGTTCAACTTTCTGGAGAGGAACGTCCAAACTTCTGTGCCGTGCTCGTACAGCTGGCCCATCACCTGGCCTCCTGCCTGCCTTAAGAACCCCTGTAAGAAGTACTCCATGGTACAGAGCACACGAGAGGAGTGATCTGGCCCTGATACCCCTGCAGTGTTTCCTGATAATCCACAGACGTTGTATTCCTTCATTTAGTCTTACCAAATGGACAGCAGCATAATGGTACCAAAAATGAATTGCTATGAGAGAAATTTTTCTGCAAAACGTGTCAAGAAAGGTCAACGTGAAGTCTCTGTGTGTTCTTCATATATGTCATTTATTTATAAGATAAGAGTCCTGCAAAGTCATCTTTGTTTTTTATACCAAGTATTTAAGTCAGCTAGTGATGGACAGTTTGTTGCAAATGTATTGTAGGTTCATTAAAGTATATTTGCAACACTTGTTTTTAGATCTGCTGCCATAACTAATTGGTATGTGTTGACAGGTTTTACCTCATTATGATTTCAATATGCTCAAATCACAAGGTGCCTTAGGGAGTATTCAGTGTCAGTATATGTTACAAAACTGCCATCACCAGCTTAGCATTTGTTTTTGTTTTCTATGAGTTTTTTTATATAATGAATATTGTAATAATATTATTAGCCTCGAGTATGTACTATATATTCAAGCTGTAGTCAAACATTGTGAATAAGTATTAAAATGTCCTCATGCTGATGCCTCTGTGTTGTTTTTTTCATTTAATGTAATAACCTGTCAAATACAAGTGAATGTTTAAGACAGAATGTTTTAGTTTTATATGGATGCCTGCAACATAACAGCAATTCATTTTCACAAGTCACAAGTACATTTTTTTTTTAATAATTCTTAAAATGTATGAAAATATAGCTTAAGCCTTAGGCAAATGTATGCATAGCCTACAGCGTTTTTGTGTCTATGATGTCAACAAATAACCTCATAGAAATTTCACAGCTGCAACATATTGATTAGGTAGCAAATAACCTAGTATCATTCAAAGAAAGATCGAAAGATTTAACCATCATTATAGTTGTCACGTTTGCAAAATAAACCTCTTTAGGAAGCAATGTTTCCTACCTTTAAAAATAAAAATATATAAATTCAAATTTATTTAGAATGTCAAATACTTACATTGTAGCAAAAAAAGCAACATGGGAGAGGAGCCTGTCGCTTTAAGTCTGAAATGCACCAATCACAGCGCGTCGAGGTGCTCAGCTGTCGGCCAATCGAAATCCAATAACGGTACCACATTGTCACGTGCGGTTTCACGACAACAACACAGGAAGAGTGTGCGCTGATGTGAAGCTCTTATAACCGGTCTGAAGGTTTTGGTGGCATCTTTATAATAGTCAACAAATGGGATAGAAACAGCAGCTCACCGACTTTGGTTTATTTGCTTTGACACTATGATGTCGCTACCACACTCTTTCGGCTCCGTGTTGTCAAATGTCAACATTTTAGCTTTCACAGTGTTCTTCATAGTGTACTGTTTAGTTCGTTTTTATCAGAAACGACGACACCTCTCAAATATTCCACCAGGTCCGAAGCCGTGGCCTCTTGTGGGTAACTTCGGCGGCTTCCTCATCCCGTCTTTCATCCAGAGGAGGTTTGGACAAGAGTCAGCCAGCAGTGACAAAAGCCCGGTGGCTGCTTTAACGGAACTAAACAAGCTTTACGGTAACATCTACAGCCTGTTTGTAGGGAGTCAGCTGCACGTTGTGCTTAATGGCTATGATGTGATCAGGGATGCTTTCTCAAATCACCCCGAGGTGTTCTCGGACAGACCTGACATCCCTGCGATATCGATCATGACCAAACGCAAAGGTAGGCATTTTCTGTGTGCATTAAAGAACCATTACAACTCATTTCACTGTGACTTAACAGAACGGATAAAGCCAAAAGAAGATATTGTCTTCACTTAGGTGAACCCAGCAAAACGAATACAGCCCCCAAGAAGCCCAGCAATATGTTTAGTTTAGTGGTGTTTATTGATAGTAGAGGAACTTGGGGACCCTAAAAGTTGAGATACCCCTACCCGAGGTAGAACAAAGCACAACCATATATTTTTTCACAACTTGAACATGTCTAGTTTATGAAAACGGATGGTTGTATAAAAATATTTTACTGCAAAATAACCTTTTTTGGATGTTTTATGCATCTTACCAAAAAACGAAAATAGGTCAAATTAGGCCTTTTTAGCCTTATCACATGTATCTCTGGGAATCAGAATCAGAATTTCACCAAATTTGGACAGGATGTTCACAGATAGTTATTAGTTTCAATTATGCAAAGTTTTTATCAATACCATTTTCAATTTTTGAATTTTTCACACTTAAACACACATGTAGTTTAGGCGGCAATTGGAAATTGAAACAAAAATTCAAAAGGTATGTATATGAAAGTCTGTCATTTTTTAAGCAAGTACACCAAACATTAAAATATGTTATTTGTATCTTCGTTAGACTGTTATCTCAACTTAAAAGCAAGTTATTTGACTTTTCACTTGACCCTATGCTGTCACCAGCCCCTAACAGGAAACTAGTGCAGCCAGGATTTCAGGGCGACCTGGTACAATGGGGCCCTGTGGATGTGTGTGTGGGAGGAGGTGGCCACAAACAACAGATTAAGACTTAACAACAAGACACAATAGAATTGTATTCTGTAATATAGTCTAAAGAGCTCCTGATGAAATCAAAACAACTTGTGTGCCGTCAAACAAAAGGGATTCCTGCTAATCATAGCAATAAAGTGGCTTCATAAGGTTGCCCCATATCGTGTATTATTGTTGTATGATCCAATTGCGTAACGAAAAGTGCAGGAAGCGTTTATATCTCTGTTTATATTGAAGGAGAAAAAAAAAATGGGAAAAAGAGAATACAGACAGTAATCAAGGCGGAGGAATGTGTTTCCTCTTTGAATCACTTGATTAACATCTGACATCCTGAAAAAGAATGACTAATCCCAAAAACAAGACAAAACCATCCTCAGTCACACGCAGTCTGTGGCTGGTTATCAACTGTGACGATTGTTGTTCACAGCTGTATTATTAAAGGATGTACTTATATGAGACGTGAATGTTTTCCAGCTTTCAAGCAATCACTGAATGTTTTACTTGGTTTACTTGAAGGGGTTGTGTCCTCCTGTTACAGGGGACTGTTTCTTATGTAACATGAGTGTGTCTGTTCACGTTATTTTCATGCCTGTATACAACGAAAGAGACCAAGGTCGATGGTTGGCATTTGTCACAAAGCTGCACTTAGTGTGAGTGTAAACTGTCACACATGCTGTTGTAACCTTTAGTGGCGGCAGAAGATGGCTGTTCACAAATGAGTCTAGTTCTGCTCGAGGCTTCTGTCTATGAAGAGGAGAAGGACATTTTCCATGCAACTGTTGCCAAGTGCTTGCTGATTGCTGACTAACTGTGGGTCTCTGTAAATTATCAAACACAAGTACAGCTTAGATCGGCTACTAAAAGTGTCATGGGATAACTTTTGTTGTGACTATGAATTAAGATGATTAACTGATGGATTAAGAGAGGCTCATTTTACTAACAGCGGGGATATTCATTAAAGAGCTAAAAGTAACACCCTTGATTTGACAGATTTAAAAGTGTCATGGTTACAACTGGCAGAGATAAAATTGAGAGGTTTGATGGACAGAGTAAGTAGGCTATATGTCCAAGAACACAGGTAGCTCACCTGGTTAAGACACGAGAGCTCTAACACCAGTCATTTCTCTTCCTCTTGCTACATGCCATCCCCTGTCTGTCTTCGTCCTTTTACCATCTGACATAAAGGTGGCATTAAATATTTTTTACCCACTTTAAGGACAGCATTGCCAGTAGCGTTTGGGTAGGATCATTACAGATAGCCTGCTGTGAAGTTTTTCTTTGCAATTATGTTACATGTGGCAGTCCTAAAGATAAGATTTAACAGTGACTAAATGAACCATGGACTAAGTGTTTTCTTTGCTAAACCTGAGTTGAATGCATCCCTTTCTGTTTCAATTTAGGAATAGTCTTCGCTCCTTATGGGCCCGTGTGGAAGAAGCAGCGCAAGTTCTGTCACGCCACACTCCGAAAGTTCGGCCTGGGGAAGTTGAGCTTGGAGCCTTGCATCGTGCAGGGCCTGGACACCATCAAAGCTGAGCTGCTGAGACTGAACGAGGAGTCTGATGGTGCCGGTGTGGACCCGGCCCCGCTGATCAGCCACGCTGTGTCAAATGTTATATGCTCTCTAATCCTGGGCCAGCGCTTCCACCACGAAGACCTCGAGTTTCGCGGCATGCTGGACCTGATGGATAGAGGGCTGGAAATCTGTGTGAACAGCCCGCTGTCCTCATCAACGTCTTTCCACTGCTGTACTATTTGCCTTTTGGGGTCTTTAAAGAGTTACGGCAGGTGGAAGGAGACATGACAGCGTTTCTTAAGAGGTTTATTGCGACACACAGAGAAACATTAGATCCTAAAAACCCCAGGGATCTGACAGACATGTACCTGATCGAGATGTTGGCTCAGCAGGCTGCTGGAAACCTGGATAGCAGTTTCACTGAAGATTATCTCTTTTATATAATCGGAGATCTCTTCATCGCTGGCACTGACACCACAGCTAACTCCGTTCTGTGGGTTCTACTCTACTTGGTCTTAAACACTGATATCCAAGGTAAACGTAGCAGCAGGCTGTTCAGTCCATGATTTTGCAGACTGCATACATGCTCTTGTCATACTTATTAGCACCTGTGTGCTTGAAAAGAAAATGACCATCACAATGACATCTAGGAGAAGCTTTGGTAATATGATCTGTATTTTCTGAACGTAAAATATAATTTAAGATTCACAGCATCGTAGAGTTTCAGAGTTGATCATTTAGATACTGACGTGGGGGATTTATTTTGAACTGAAAGTGAAATGTTTTCAGGCTCATAAACCATGGGGCCAGTTGTTTTTTTTTAAGATAAGTAAAAAAAGGAATTGGAAATCTTCTGAGAGAACCCACAGCTATAATACTTCCTGGTTTTTGGACATCAAAATGTCTGTAACGATGATGCCTTTAACCACTTCTTCACTTGTTTCACAACTTCACTTACACTACCGCTTTCTTGTGCTCTGAAGATATTTTGAGGAGGTGAAGACTTAATTGATCATGCAGAAACTACCAGCTCAAGGTTGCTTTGCTTCCTCTGTTTTTTTTATTTCAGACAGAGTCCAGGCAGAGATCGACAAAGTGGTGGGCACACGTCGGGTCCCATCTTTGACCGATAAGGGAAGTTTACCTTTTACTGAAGCCACCATCATGGAGGTGCAGAGATTGGCTGTAGTGGTTCCTCTCGGGATTCCTCACATGGCCTCAGAGACAACAGGTACACTGAAAAACGTGACCCTTCATTTTTCTCTCAGGTATCCAAGTGTTAGATGATATATTTACATTTAAGCATTTAAGCTTCAGTGGTGAAGGCATTTTATGATATGTTTTCCCTCCCATTCAGAGTTTAGAGGCTACAGTATTCCCAAAGGAACTGTTGTTGTGCCCAACCTGTGGTCTGTCCACAGAGATCCCACTGTGTGGGACGATCCAGACACTTTCAACCCAGACCGCTTCTTGGATGATGACGGAAATTTGCTAAGGAGGGAGTACTTTATACCATTTGGAATTGGTATGCCATTCCTCACTAATATGGGTTTATTAACAGAGCCATTGATTCTATAAATCAAGTAATCTCTGATTAACTGATGTACTCCTGTTTCCTTCAGGACGCAGAGTGTGCATGGGTGAACAGCTGGCAAAGATGGAGATGTTCCTGACTGTTACCAGCTTACTGCAGGCCTTCAAATTCAGACTCCCAGAGGGAACGCCTCAGCCTACACTGCGTGGTCGATTCGGCCTGACGCTGGCTCCCTGCTCATACACTGTGTGTGTAATACCACGTAGCTAAAACAGTGAAAGCCTTGGTTTTAACAGAGATATTCTCTGACTTTGTGCTATGTAAATCTTTCCAGAAGTGCAAAGATGTTTTCAAAGGTCTCCTGGAGAGAGTATTTAGTCTGTGGACAATATGCATTATTATTCTAATGCATATTGTGGCTGCACATTATATTTCATTTTTAATATTGTTTTTTTTTTCTTGGTTTATTTGGCAGGGACAGATGCAGTATACATGGAGAACTGAATAACAATTTTACAATGCACTGCACCACAGCATTTATAGCTAAGGCTCATTTCCAATGCCTGTCCCTGAAAAGGCCTTCAATATAAAATACATAACATGATAAAAAATATATGTAGAACATGCTTACTGATCTACACACCCACATAGATGTAAAGTTAATTCATATATACACATACCTTCCAACCCCCACCCCTCCCACTAACACAATACCTACACTCAATTTCATTTTAAAATGTTGGCAACTCAGATGGTTTGTTTTAAGGTTGGTATCAATTAATTTATGAATATTGAAGCAATCCTTCAGTCCAAAACATTTCAAAATATGTATCAGAGATGGCTGCAATCCGAAGCAGTAGCTTATCGTGGGTATTAAATGTGTGATGCGTTTAAGAAACTCATACCAGCAGACGTTTATTTGAATAATAACTTGATAATCAAGTGATGATTAGTTTAGTCATGTACACATTTCTGTTGATAATTAATGTTTATGAGCCACTTAAAATAAAGGTCAGTATTAAATGCCAGAAGGGATTTTCATGTAGTGTTATATAAATATGTATTATAGTTTGTAACTCCCCCCACACATTATCTGATTATGACATGTCTAATATCAGGGCATTATGTGAAGACACATTTCGGTTTTTCGGCCCAAGAGTGTAAATATATATATTTCCTTACAGACTTACAGACATGGGTGATTTTCTGACAGCATTTCAATAAAAACGTTATTCTAATAATAAATACCTCAACTTATCTTGTATAAATGCATGTTGTTGTTTTCTTTTTAACACGAACACTTAACCTACACACTTAATACTTTTGAGTGTTAGGTTGTTGTTATTTAACAATGTGATTTGTTATAGCCTGAAAATCAATTAAAAAGTTATAATAAATCTTTTGTCATAATTAAAAAAGTGTTTATAGGAATAAGCCAGAGTTCATTTGAATTGCTGCTCTAGAGTGACTGTTACGTTCACTCCTAAAAGGCTTTATTTAGTAAATTAAAGTCAGTATATCAAATTTAATAGACAAGTAAATAGTGTTATTTTACTGCTGCAGGGGGCATACTAGTGATGTTTATAAGGTACTTTAATCTGGAGAGACAAGTAAATGAATCAAATAAATATTCATTTTACATATGTGACATTGAATTATTGGCAGAGAATCTTTGGTGCTTGAACGCTACAGGTAGGAAGGGTGATCGACAATGTCTGCCCTAAAAGGCAGCAAGATCTATCCCCCGGTGGAATCCAGACACTGGGGGAGGCGTTAGCTGATGATGTCATCTGGTCGTATGGGATGAAGAAGCTGAACTGTGAAGACTGGGGTTGATGAGAAGATGGAGCAGTGCTGTTGGAGAGACATAACCAGGTGACGAGAACAGCTGATGATTACAGTTTGCCTGGAGGAGTGCATGTGAGAATGAACAATAAAACCTGCATGCAGAATATATAATCTTCCTGGCTAAACTATCACTAGAGCTACATATAATAAACAAGCACTTTGGTCTCTTCAAGCCATACATAATGTATTATCTAGAATTCAGATCAGTTTGAGGGACGTTACCTATTGTCTTATCAAATACTTCTTTACATTCAGAGATAGCCTGTCTGCAGGCTTGGACTTCTGGACTAGCATATTTACAATTAATGTGGATTTTCAACCTTACATCCATCCTTTGTTTTCATTTGTCAGCATGTTACCAGAATCAAAGATCACCATCAGCCCTAAGAAGTTACTCTCTGCAGCAGAAAACCAGGACAATTATTTTTAATGAGACATAGGACATAAAGGCAACTAAGGGAGAGTTTGAAGGTGGTCAGTTGTGAAGTTACAGAGAGTTTATAGCAATCAAGTGATTATTTTGCCGATTTCGAGCCGCTCCAGCAACCCTCCGGTTCCCCAACCCAAGTCCCTATATCTCTACTGAGCTATTGCAGCCCCCAATTGTGCTTATGTAGATACAAGTTTACAAACATCAATATCAAAAGGTGGGTTCATTTTTGTTGGGTAATGACTAATTTTTTATAGTTATATATTTTAGCTCAAACTAATATTATGAACGAGAGACTTTATTAATAGTGACATTCAAAGAAACATTCAACAAAGGGTAGCCTATCCCAAATAAAAATAAAACTGGTTCTATCTCTGACTGCTGCAATAACGTTAAGATTTAAGTGTTTTAATTGTTCATAGTGTCCTGATTTGGTCTTATTTAGTTTTGTATTTCAGAGTTTAGGTTTCCATGTTTTAATTTCTCCTGTTTATCCTAGTGTTGCTTGTTTCCCTTATGTGTTTTTGTCATAATGTTTCATAGTTTAGTCTTCAGTGTTTCCTGTGTTATTTTGTAATTTCATATCCTTGTGTCCCTCTCTGTTCTCAGTGTTTCATATATTTGTCATTATATTTGTATTTATATATATATATATATATTATACATTTGTCCTCAGTGTTTCTTGTCCTGCCTCTGTGTGTTTCCCTCCAGTGTTGATTGCCCTGATTGTCTTCACCTGTGTCGTTGGTCTCACCTGTGTCTGATTACCCCCCATGTCTATTTAGTCTCTGTGTTTCTTGCCCTCTGTGTCAGATCATTGTTAGTTGTATGTCAGTTGTCAGTTTACTAGTGTCTCCTTGTGCTTTTTCATGGCTCTTTGGTTTTTCGTGTTGGATTTTGATAGTAAGTTTTTGTTTAAAAAAAAAATAGTTTTTGTTATTCTGCACTTGACTCCACACCTCCTTGTTTTCCCACAACCTTGACACATAGTTTTATATCACTGGCAATGGCCCCCTGCATGCAGAAACCCTTCAATATTAGAAGTCTGCTGTTTTTTGTACTTCAGCTCGAGTATTTTGTCCACTGTGAACTGCTAATTGATCATATTTAACCAGCAGACTGAGGAACAGCTTTTTCCCCAGAGCTGTTTCTCTACTGAACTCTACCCCCCGAACTCTGAACTCCCTCTCTCTCTCTCTCCGCACCCTGCTGACCCCCCCCCCCTTTCCCCTGCATATCACCTCACACCCATCACCCCCCAACCACTCCTCCTGGTCACACACACACATCTCTCATCCATCTGTATTATTGTATTATAGTATGTTCATATTATGTCCATATTCTTTATATTATCTGTAAACTAGTATAGCATGCTCACTGCATCTTAATCTGTATATTATTAGTATAGCATGCTCACTGCATCTTAATCTGTATATTATTAGTATAGCATGCTCACTGCACCTTAATCTGTATATTATTAGTATAGCATGCTCACTGCATCTTAATCTGTATATTATTAGTATAGCATGCTCACTGCACCTTAATCTGTATATTATAATCCTAAACATACACTTATTTTGTAGCATTACTTATTTATAGCATTTATTTATATTTATTGCATCCCATTAATCCAGCCATCCAGATATTCCTAATAATTCACTTTTTTTAAGTCTACATCTATAAATTTTGTAATTACTGTACATAGCACAGACTCTTGCACTTTCTGCTTATTTGCACTTCTGGTGAGATGCCAAACCTCATTTCGTTACTCTATACTTGTATATGTGTAATGACAATAAAGTTGACTCTCATCTCATCTCATATTTGCTCAAATAGGTTGTTCAGGTGAGACAGTTTTTTTTTTTGTTTCTAAAGCTTGTAATAAAAGTCACCTTTGAGTAGGCTATATGGTATTTACTACCATTAAAATGTAACCCCCCAAATATTATTCATAGTAAGTGTGTGAAAGGTCATTGAAGAATACCACGTGACCGTCGAGTTTGACCTTCTTCCACTTCGTGTGTGTCCCGGGGCTGTTGTTTCTGTCCTGTAGGCTTCAGACGAGCAGGTCGTTCACGATGGCTTTCTTCACGCACCGAGTCTGCAGAAGCTTTTCGTCTTCGGCTGTCAGAAATGTTGTTATTAAGCACGTAACAATCATCGGAAGTGGACAGATGGGGGCAGGAATTGCACAGGTAGGTGAAGAAACTCCCTTTAGCTCCTTCTTTACTAGCTGTTAGCTTATTTTGTAGCTATTATGAGCTAACTAGCTCACATGATATGAATCAGAGCAGGCGCTACGTGCTTTAAAGTAGCCTATGCATGCTGTATTACCATGTTGTGTCGCCCCAGTATGATCCGCCATTGAAGCTTTTTCATTAAAATAATGAAATAGTTTGTTTTTTTTCCAGACAGTGTTTAGCAGCCAGGTAACCAATCACAGCCACAGCTAACAAGGAAGTATGTGGAGATAAAGTCTTACAACCCCGGTTTTAAAAAGTTGTGTGCAAAAGTTACAATAAAAAAAAATACAAAGACAAGTTATCAAATATTGAGAGGAATCCCACAGTCATGAAGAACTAAAGGATATTTAAAATGCAATGCCAGCAACACAGCCAGCAACAACAACAACCAAAAAATAAACAGGTGTGACAGGAGTTTCAGTGTTTTGCTGTTTTTTCTGACGTAACCAGGAAATGTTAAAGGAGGATTCACCTGAGATTCAAAGCAGGGAATGTTTGAAGATCTGAATTTGGCCTCAAGGTGTCCCTGTCACTGTTTGTTCTTTAGTGAAGTGCTAGCCTCAGGATGAGCACTTACTGTCTGCTTCTGAGTTACTTTGCATGTTTGTCGTCCCCACGTCTGTCATACATCACTGTGATTATTCTACATTAAGTTTGTATGGCTGGACAGTAGCGAGGATCTAACAGTCTTATTATGATTATTGACTTTTTCTGAGAAGGATTTTATAAAGATTGGCTTGAGTCTAGCTGTCAGTTATTTTCTGTCATTGTTACTGAGACTTGTTGTTGTTAACACAGTAATGACTGTGTACAGACACCTTTAAGAAAAGAACACCTTTTAATCAAAAATATAATATTATTTATAGAAGACTAAAGAAATCAATATAGAAGTTATAATGGGTCGATTCATCAAACTTTATTTTGCAGAACATATTTGGTTATAAATGATAAATATTTGTATGTTGATTTAGTTTATGTATATAAATATATATAACATATTTATTATTTATTTATTCATAATTCAGGATTGAAGAAGGAAGCCTATGCAATTAACTCGAGATTCATCGTCTTCCCACTCCTTTTCAAACATCCAATAAGAAATTGCCTGTTGTCTAATGCACAATGCTTTTGTGGGTTGTTTTTTTTTTGTCTTCAGTCATCAAGATTATTATACTGTATATCTTAAAGGGTAAGGGAGAGCAGTATCTCCTTCTTTGCATCCACCTACACATCACAGACACTGACAACTGCCCTTCTAGTAATCTTGAACTGATTTGCTTCTGAAAGGTCGCTGCACAGACTGGCCACTCGGTGACGCTGGTGGACACAAACGAAGACATCCTTAAAAAGGCCGTCAAAGGAATCGAAGGGAGCCTCAAAAGAGTGGTGAAGAAGAAGTTTGCTGAGAAACCAGAGGTGAGACAAAGCAGATCAGAGAGGAATACAACACAAGATGATTTTAAAATGAATATATAAGAGATTCAAATATATTAAATGAATTATGTTCCTGTGTTTCAGGCGGGGGACGAGTTTATCCAGAAAGTTCTGCAGAATGTGTCGACTTCCACAGATGCCGGGGAAGCAGCTCAGACGTCTGATCTCGTCTTGGAAGCCATTGTTGAAAACCTAAAAATCAAACAGGACCTGTTTGGTGTGCTTGACAAGGCAGCACCAGCGTAAGTACCGACGTGTTTCTGTGTCATTTATCAGCTAAAAGTGTCTTTAGAAAGAATGTTTGCAGAAAGAGTTAACACCCAGAAGAGGCTGTCGCTGAACTCTCGGTTTTGGGTGTTATGGTGCAGAGAGTGTGTTGTTGTCAAATACAAGTTTTCTGTTTAAAAACACTCAATGAACTTATTTTTAGTAGTAATACTGGTCTTAACACACTATATTTGGTGTCGTCTTTGACGTTACTATCTTCTGTTCTTTTGTTTAGACACACCATCTTTGCCAGTAACACATCCTCCCTGCCCATATCCGACATCGCCAGCGCCACCAGCAGGCTGGACAGATTTGGTGGCCTTCACTTCTTTAACCCCGTCCCCGTGATGAAGCTTGTAGAGGTAAGGTCTTGCAGCTCATTCACATCCACCTTTCCTTGATTGAGGAAAACAACTTAGAGCCGTAATATGCAAGAAATGTATGTTTTGGAGATTTGATGTTGTCTCACCGGCTGAAATAAACACAAACAAGGCCTTGAAAGTCAAGTTCACAAGTTTGCTACCACGGAAAAACATCAGGGAAGTGCTTAAACATAGAGAGAAAGTCAGAAAATACACGTCAAGCCAACTCAGACTTCTGGAATTTTGTACCGATTTATATTCTACCCGCCTCTCATGACAGTTGTGGAAGTATTTGGGGCCTTGGTGTAGTCCGCTCAGTTTATTTAGTAATGGAATGGTTTTACAGATGCAACTTTAATACGGTGCAGACTTATTTGAGGTGTCCCATTCATTTCCAACATGTTTGATAACAATGATTTAAGATCTGGATGATGTTGTCTGTACGGGAGCACAGCAGTCAACAAGTGAGAGAGACAGGAGATGGAGCCAGGAGGTCAATGAGACACAATGAAGTCACAATCAAGTGGTTTGAAATCAGTGATTTTAACAGCTCGTGACGCGAGCGTCAGCATTAAAATCAGCCTGATTCTATTGTTTCCTATTGAAGTGTCTTAACTGCCCACGAGTAACGCAGTGCAAAATGGCACGCCATTTTTTTGCCTCGACTTCCCGTTTCTACTTTCCTCTCGGTCGCTCGCGTAGACGGACAAGACGGCAAAATATCCTTTTTTTTCGGCTTGTTGACGAGTGTTGTGATTTGAGTCAGCAGCTCGTCAATACAAAGCTCCACACATCCGTTTGTCCATCTTAAATACAAAAGCACTTGATGTCATTTCTTTGCAAGCGAGGATACTGAAACTCACAGAGCAGAGAATTCAACATTTAACGGATGCACCCACATGCATTTGTCATAGTTGAAAGGCAGCTGCCACCAACAGCTTCACTGCTGTCACTCCAGCGAGCGGACTCACCGCTCTCGGATTGTGCACAATGACATGGATTGTAGCTAAATGTATTTAAAACGACTGGTAACCAGCTAAGAGCCGGGCAAAAGTCAACATTTAAAGGAAAGCAATTCACCAAAGACAGAACAACAACAGAAGGAAGAGGAAGAATGTAATCTTTTGCCAAATCTGTTGATCAATGCTGATATATGCGGACAAGTACGTTGAGTATAGAAAAGATACGGACGTTTGACTGAAATTCTATAAATCAAAAGTTATGTTCCTGGGCCAATGGTTGCATTAGTGTGGCCAGTGATCCTGAAAACTATTTTACAAGCCCCGCCTGTACAGCACTGGTAACCACTGAAGTTCTTATCATTTGTAGGTAATTGGAACGCCATCAACGAGCCAAGAGACTTTCGATTCCCTCCTGAACTTCAGCAAAGCGCTTGGAAAAACACCTGTGTCCTGCAAGGTAGGACTTGATTCCTGACTCCTAATAAGTTTGTTGTGTCTTCAAATATATTTGAGAGCCCACTCAGCAGTATCCACATGTCTTTATTCAGGATACACCAGGATTCATTGTGAACCGCCTGCTTGTTCCGTACTTACTCGAAGCTGTCCGCTTGCATGAAAGAGGTATGTACACCCAGCTGCATCACTTAGCAATACTGACTAGCTTTGCTCTCAATAGGTATTCATCCACTTTAATTATTCCATATGTAGCCACATGTTGTCGTGGACTACATAAGGTTTGAATGTTACAGACCATCTCAAGACAGTACTACATTTTGAAGTCGTTGGGAAGGTATTATAGGGTGTTTTAAAATGATTTAATATGAATAAAAAAAGGAAAAGCTTGAGTGCTTTGCCGTGAAACCGCTCAGACAGATCAGGTGAGGCCGATGCCCCCAGGTTAGATTTTTGCATTCAGCATTTGTCTGCTTACTGGACGAGTCTTGTTTGTGGATCAAATGGTTTAAATCTCAAATAAGTGCATTGAATTCTGGGTTGTACAATGCGAGTGTATAGTTTCTGTAATGGGATTATTTACCACAGTGAAGTGCCATTATGTGTTTTATGGTATTTAAGAGTAAACTGAAGAACGGAGGGAATTAAAAGGAGGTGTGCACAGATATTTCTTTGCACTCTCATTCATGTTTAAGCATATAGCATCAAATGTGTCTTCATATTATTGTGTTTTAGGTTAGATTTATTCCTGCAGCCCTTCATGGGTTATCTTTTCTTTTCTTCCTCAGGTCACGGGTCCAAAGAGGACATTGACATCGCCATGAAACTCGGTGCAGGCTATCCAATGGGACCTTTTGAGCTGGCTGACTATGTAGGACTAGACACCATTAAGTTCATCATTGATGGTGAGTAAAACTGTGTGATATAAAACATTGTTAACATGGCATTAAAAAAGTGTGACATCCTGGGATAATCATGAATCTGCTGCATGACGGAGCAATAGTTCTAATTTATACTTCATGAAAAACCCCGCCTCTTCTTGTAATCGCAGGTTGGAGCGAGAAGGACCCCGACAACCCCCTCTTTGCCCAAAGTGAATACCTGAACCGGCTGGTGGGAGAGGGAAAATGCGGCAAAAAGACAGGAGAAGGATTTTACGGCAAAAAGTGATCTACCGTAATTTAACAATGTATTGTGTGAATGGACGTCCCTCCCTAACGAACGAGAACTTCAACAAATGAGCTTTCCAAGAGAGACTCGTTAGAAAAGTGAAAGGAAAAACAGTCAGTGCCTTTTATATTAAAGGTCGATTTTTATGTGTGTAATTATTATGGACGTCCACTACAACATCTCAGTATTTCAAACTGAACTGATCAAAGCTAATTAAATAGAGATTTTTATGTACTCTGTGTCTGTCATTGTTATGAGTGAAAGGTCTTAATGTTCTTTTTACTTTTCTACTGATGCTGATTGATAACAAAATCATATTAGTTGCTGAACAGAATCATTGTTTGTTGAGCATAAAGGAGCTCTTCAATATGACCTCAGATGATGTACACACTGCTTTGACACACTGCTTTGACACACTGCTTTGACACTTACAAAAAACTCCTGAAGTTTTCAGGGTGAGCTGTGTGAACTGAAGCAGCCGAATCTTTCACTCTGACTTTATCCAGAGTTTCTCCTGCCAGCCCCCCCAAAGTGTTTTTTTCTGAAGGTAGTCCGAGATAGCTGATGTGAGAACACAACAGGCTCTTTTCAAGAGGATTAGAACAGTTTACTTACATCGTATAAACCTTCAGTGTGACAAAACAAAATGCATCACCCTTCAACATTACAGAGGTGATGAATGACTTCTCATCTGATCTGAAAGATTTAAAACCTTTAGTGTTAACTCATGGTTACTAGCGAGCAGGCTTCTTCTTTAGTGCCTTTGATAGCACCTTGCTGCCCTCGAGGTGCGTTTTCCCACACAACAGTTAATCATTGGCTGGAACTTTTTCCAAGTCCTTAATATACACAAGAACACACTCATTAAAAGACTGACCCTCAGTCCTACTGAGTAAATCAAACAGGTGGACCAATAAGCTGTAAGAGTTGAACAAAAGCGAGACGAGTTTGGACATTTTTATAAAGTCTGTTTTGAGATGGAGCAAGGAGCAATACAGAATAGTAAATATGAAAAAGTTTTTTTTTTTTTTATTGAAATGTATTCAAGATTTAAACTTTTAACATCAAACGCGTGGCAATTAAACTCATCTTTAATTCAGTTTTAAGGCAAGAAGCGTTCCTCCTTCAGCAGACAGTAAAAACAGTTTTTGTTCAGATTCTTAGATTTTGGGATTTGTAGAGAAACTGACAGAAACAAGTGTGTCTGTGTGTCTTGATTGGTTTCTTTAGTTCAAAATGTACTTTATACCCACAATGAACACAAGGGGGCGCTGTCTTACCTGAAATAACCGCGTTTTAAAGTCCCAAACCAGATTGGACTGTGAATAGAATTTCCCTTTGATCTTGGCTCTTTAATCAAAACGCTGCTCATCTCAAACAATTCAATAAGGTACTTTTTTTTTAAATAAAGCTAAAGTCTGTTTACCTGACAGTTCTTTCATAGATGAATCTCACGCTTAAAATCAACTTTTTACCCACTTCTAAAACGGTCGATGAAGGCTTCTTTTTTCATTATCACAATAATTCTGTTTGAATGTAACCCTATGCATTGTGTACATCTCCACAAAGACTCAATGTGTTTGACATTCTTATTCACCACCATTCATCTTTTTTCTGAAATGATGACACCGACGGTTGATCCGGCACTTAAAGCTCTGGTCTTAACCATAACACACGTGATCAAATGCGCCAATGGTGCCTTTTTATTTTTCTTACAAAACAAAACAAAAACATGTTGAAACAGTTCAAATATGACCACTTGGGAAGCAAAATGCTAAACCAAGATGACAGTGACCCGAAATATGATAATAAAAAAAAAAAAAAGGAATTCATCAAGTAATACTAAAATAGAGCATTAAAATCAAAATGTTACAGAGATGCTTGCATGGAATAAACAACATGGCTAAAGACCACACTATCAGCTACGAGAGAGAAAAGACAAAAAAAAAAAGGTCCATTGCAATAAAAGAAAGACTGCCAAGTGCTGGGGTAAATATATATATCTGCTTCATTTGTCATGTTTTAGAACAATAAAATATAGGCCTCTGAGCTAGCACTCTCGCCTTTGTCCTAATTTTGCCTGCAAAAATACCAAGAAAATTGACATATCCTGACAGTTTTTAAAAAGTACACATACTGAGCATTATTTTACATCTGAGCAAGACTCGAGGTCACTATTTGTTACAAATAGTTATCAAAAGAAGCCTTAAGTTTCAATTTTCTGCAAGACGCTTCAACAAGAAAAATGGCTTTCCTGTGTCCAAAGCTTATTTTCATATATAACCACTATATAAAAAAAAAACAATATTTAAAATAAAAAAAATCACTAAAATATACACCGAGAAATTGAAACAAGGGTTCAAGATACAAAAAAGCATTCAAAATAAGTCAGTCTAAAACCAAACGCAAATTAAAACATTGATCCTTTTTGCACCGACTGGTCAGCAACAAACTCAAAATGGCGCCTTGAGGACGTTTTTTTTTTATTTATTTATTTTTTTTTAGACAAGATGAGATCCCTCCGTCTTCCTTTAGTGCAGTCTAAAAAGAGGTGTTTGGTCGGTCGGGTGGGAAACCCCAAATGGTCTCAAAAATCCAGGAAGAGAGAGAGAGAAGGGGAAGGGGGAAAAGGTGTTGAGGAAGTGAATGTCGACCTTATGAACTGTACAAACGAACCGAGGTGACAAATAAATTACAATAAACGTAGAAAGAGGTGTTTGGATGGTGCAGTTTGTGCGCACTTTACAAATTGCTGCTGTTTTTCAGTGCAGTGCCTCGGATTGTGGTAAAGCTGATTGTGAAAAGGACAAGATTCAGACATTTAATTGCGGTTTTGTGGATTCTGGGTGAGGACGTGGTTTTGTGAGGGTGCTCCTACTAATCATGATTGTCTTCAGTTCAGTGTCTTTACAGCAGGAGGGGGGTGGGGGTGGGGTCAAACAGTGAAGAGTTTTTGGTGGTGGTGGTGGTTGTGACTGTGACTGTGATGGGAATAGGGTTAAGTTGGGGTTGGGATGGGGGGTCCTCTGAGATCTGGAGGCTTGAGTTTGGAGATATTCAGGGTCTTCGTGGAATCTTAACAGGCCTCCATCTCGAGCAGAGGGCCCGTAGCTGCTGCCTTTGCTTTGCATGTGGAGAAGTTGCTACGTTTTCCTCCTGATGGGGAGAAAAAAAACAAAACAAAGAGAGGAACAAAATGAAAACATCAATCACCACACTAAGTATGAAGTAACTGCATCTGTATACAAAGAAAAAAAAAGCTGCTTTTTCTCATCGGGGGGGGGGGGAATAATTAGAAACACATCAGTAACACACACCAAAACAGTGGTCGCATTCACGTCACACAAACCAAAACCAGACGCTATCAGGATGACTCATAATGACTCTGAAGTGTCTCACCGCGCAGGCATGCCCCCTCGCTCAGAAAGGGATAAATAACACTGTCATTACATCTGCCTTATCAATGTGTTTTCCTCTGTTTCGTTGTGTTACAGCTGATTGAATTTGAGCCTTCACAGCAGTGTGAAGCTAAAGCTCTGAACTACAGAGGGGTTATAGGTCAGCGACAGGATGTGGGCCGGTCTAGCTTTGATCTGGTTTAACATCGGGGTTGCAGTGACCCAGCTGGCAGTGCTGCTCTCTCTCTCTCTCTCTCTCTCTCTCTCTCTGCCCTCCCCTGCCTGAATCATTCCTCTCACTCTCTCAGGGCGAAGCGCCTGATTGTGGCACTTCTGGTTGACATTTAGGTTGCCGCCGCAGGTGGGCGATGGGAAAACAAGATGAGGAAATGCTCACCGCACAGGACGACATGCCGCAGTGACCCATTTGGATACAGCAAGCAAGAGTTCATTGTGCTATGTCGGTAGTTATATTGTGAACCAAACTGTCTCAGGTGCAGATTGAAGCTGCTGCTCCATCCACTTCACAGGACTTCATGAAATTGGCCCCTTTCCCTGACAGGAAAATTGTTTGTCAAGCTGCGAAATGAAGGCGTTCTTCTTCTTCCCCCTCGTGATCCGGGGCGCGAGCTAACATAACAGAGTTAGCTACAGTTATTGACAAGCCGAGGAGGGTTATTTTAGACCCGAGCAGCATCAAATAGAATCTGTGATCAAAGTGGAGAGGCAGAGACAGAGGTGGATGGATGCCTCCTGCGACTCAAAAAGATGGATGTTTTGTGAAGACGAGAAAAAGGGGAAAAGAAACGGTATTAGTTTGCTTTTCCCTTGTGGCAAAGCCAAGAGTGTGTTTTTGTAGGGAAGGAGTCAGCTGAGCCCTGCTGCTCGCTGCATCTTAACACTCTAAAGTCTCAACACACACACACACACACACACACACACACACACACACACCCTCTCTGCCGAGTGCTCTACCACATGTGGATAAAAGGGAACGGGACAGAGGCCACCTTTCCCTGAGGAGAGCTGACCCTGAGCACAGATTGAAAGGAGAGAGAGCCCCTGTCGCTTTTATTTACCTCCGCCGCCCTCGCTCTTTTCATCCCAGGATCTCAAAGCGGGCCCGCACCCCCGGCTCTGCACCCTGTTTCCTGGGGAGCATTTTTTCCTTCCCCCAACCACAGACATGAAAAGCACCGGCCTTCCTGCCTGGGGAAGAGGCCTGAGGGGCTGCGGGTGAGGAGTGCGTGCATGTGTGTGAGTGTGTGTGTGCGTGTGCGTGCGTGCGTGGGTGTGTGTGTGTGTGTGTGTGTGTGTGTGTGTGTGTGTGTGTGTGTGTGTGTGTGTGTGCAGGTTTGGTGGTATTAGCAGGAGTGTGTGTGTGTGTGTGTGTGTGTGCTAGCATGGTGGTTGGTTGTAGGAAGGGGGACCAGGCCAACTCTTCACAAGGTCCAGCCGACACAAACACTGGGATTCAGGAGCAACTTGACCCCTCCTCTCCCCTTCACCTTCCTCCTCCTCCTCCTCCTCCTCCTCCTCCTCCTCCTCCTCCCTCTCTATATTAGTGCTCAGGAATGCCGGCTGGACTTTTTTTTCGCAGGAAATGAAACGCTCCTCTGTTCAGAGGGCTAGCGTAGGTTCAGTCTCCCCTCCTTCTTCTCTCTCCCCCAATTCCTTTCCCTCAACAGGACGGAGGGAGAGGGGGGGTTGGGAGGGAGTCGGACAAGTTCTTGCCCAGCTTTTGAAGTGTGGGAGGTTAAGATAACTGGCACAGCCTCGCGTCTCAATCGCCGCTTTCACCAAATCAAAGCGCCCGCAGCTGGGGCCCGCCTGCCGTATAACCCCCCTAACTTCAAACCCCCCCCCCCACACACACACACACACACACTCCTCCTCAGCTCCCTCTCTTTCCCCCCGCACACACAGCTCTGGGGTTTCGTTTGGTGCCATTAAAAAGGAAAACACCGCCGACAAATTACTCTAAAAATAAGCCAAGTTGAGAGAGGTGTCTCCAGCTCTGACTGAGGAGCAGACTTTACCATGGCAGAGAGGAGAGGGGAGGTTTGGAGGAGAAATGAGAGGGAAAGAGTGAAGGACACAGAGAGAGAGGGAGAGAGATTTTTACTTGAGTCATTTTTATCAGGTACATGATTTGGGATAAATGGTAATTGTAAGAGCTTGAAGAGGGAGACACGATTAAACGATGTCTGAAAGTGAAAGTGTGTAGTCAGATCATAAGACGGCTGGATCAGTGGTAAATAAGCTCATTTAAAAGTCATCATATGATCAGCTTTATGAACAAGATAAACGTAACTTTTTAATCACGCACTGCAAAAGCATGCACACAATAACAGTTTGTGCCAAATGTTGAAAAATCTAAGTTGGACCGAAGAAAAGTGAAAGTTTGGTTCATAATTTGACATTTTGCTTTCTTTTCAAATCAATTTGTGGCCTCATTTACATTTATTTTAATTTTTTTTTTACTTTTTGGCTACCATATCTCTTGCCTGTTTGGACTTCTTTCTGAATATACTAGGGAGTTCATGTTATTATTATGGATAGGAATAATGAGCTAACTTAGAGGAAATGGCAGGTCAAAGTTCAGCAACAAAAACATGTTCTCCTACTTTAACAGAAATGAGTTCAAAGGGAAGGCTAATGATCCGTTTCTTTATCCATTCATTTGCCATTTGCTGGTGTATTGACTGTTCGATGCTTATTTGATAAAAAAAATAAAATAAAAAATAAAAAAAAGTTTTAAGACTAAAGAACAGAGGCCTAGTTTGGTATGTCAAAAGTCAACAAAAGGTCAAATGTCATAAAAAAACGTGTGAAACAAGAAAAGCAGCTGAAACAAGTGGATGTTCAGCATTTGTAAATTATAAGGACAATCACTGTTTCACCTCATTAGATCACACAGAAACAGAACCAACGTCTCGGTCAGTTATCGGTCTTTTGAGTAGATGAATCTGACATCTTGCAAACACCGTGTGCAAATCCCTCGTTACATCATCATGTTAGTCTGAGTAAGACTAACAGACTTGCGAGCTGTAGAAAAGTATTCGTCCGCACATTTAAATAAGAGTCTGGTGTCGTAGCATGTCTTGGCAGTGACCTTGGCCCGGATCACACAGCGGGCTTTGGCGACACCTTTTCAAAGGAGCCGCCTCTCTACACACCGACAGCAGGGCGGCTCTTAAAGGCAAACGGGAAAAATAAAACAGCAGGCCAATAAAAAAAAAAACAGCACCTGGAAGACAAAGCAGTGTTTGAAACTCAATGCTTTGCACTGTCAGCACTTTTTTTTTTTTTCTGCTCGGAGACATTCAACATAAAAGAAATCGACCCTTTAAAAAAAAAAAAGCCTTCAAATTTTTAACCTTCAATCATAAGGCGGGCTCAAGAGAGAGAGAGCGTCTTTTCCAGAGGGGCTATCACAAGTCAGTCAGGAGGGGCTGAAACTTAATAAAAAAAATAAAAAATAAAGAGAGAGAGAGAGGGGAGATGGTGTGGGTGTTACATTTTGGAGAGAAGGGAAGGGTGGGGTCTGATTGGACGAAAGGGGAGGAGGGGAGTTACCAAAATCCCAAAACCTCAGGCATGTGTGGGTGAGACTGGGGGAGTACAGGAGGGGTGTATGAGGAGGAGGAGGGGAAGGGGAGGTAGAGGGAGGCAATGCCCACATCTGAGGCGGCATCGCTGGGGGCCCGGGCAGCCGAAGTCTGGCCGTGTGCCCCCGCACAGCTCAGTCTGAGCCGCTGCAGGCAGGGGGGTGTCAATAGGGAGAGGGAAGGGGGGGGGGGGGGGGGGGGGGGGAGTGAGTGCAGATTCAAAGAGCCGGCACAATGACTGCTCCCTCTACTGTGGTCTCGCTTCAAAGGCCTCCACCGCCACTCATATTCTCCGTCAGGACAGAGAGGAGAGGAAGAGGAGGAGCGAGGAAAGAAAGGCAGAAAATGAGTGAAAGAGGAGGGGGAGAAGAAAACGAGCTGAGGGTGAGCTTTTTCCCTCTTTTCACAATAGCCAGGCTTGACTTGAGCGAAATAAAAATAAACACTGCTTCCTTTACACAAACTGTCCTCTTCCCGTCTGTGCCCCCTGCGTTACCTGGAGGCCTTTCATTCATTCACAGATAAGCATCTCACGAGGGGGGGTGTCTTATGAGGTCTATTCCCGAAAAAGAGCCGCAACGCCCGAGGAGCCACATGGGGAGAGGCAGAGGGAGAGAGAGGAAGTGAAGAAGACATCACAAAATTTCCAAGAGACTGGACCCTCATACTGTTACAGCAGCTGGCCAAACCACAAAACAATACACCCATGACCCAATCAAAACAGATTTCAGGCTCTAGTCTAAACAATGGGAGCTATCGCCGCATGTGCTCACATGTAAACAAAAAACTTGAAGAGGGATGTACCCCGCTTGTATTGTTTTTTTTTTCCCCTCTTAAAGCTGTAAAATATGGTTGCCAAACGAGGAGTGAAGACTTGTACTTATAAGTTAAAACCACATACTTAAATTACATCAAGTTTGACATGCTTCCACCCTCTGTAAGTACACAGGCTAAGTGCTGAGAGGGTCCTTTTTTTCCCCCCACAGAGCAGGCTTTGTCAAGGTCAGAGGAGTGAGAAAAAGGGAGAACTGTTTAAGGGCAAACACTTCCGACTTCCTAACTCCACGGAAACATTAGCAGGGGCGTCGCTGTGATTTAAGCCCTGAATCTCCCCCCTCCAACTCCCACTCCTTACTATATTTCTTCCTTTTTTTTTCTGTGAAGAAATACAGCTTTAAAAACATCCTCTCATCTCCTTTTCGCTTGCTCAGAGCGAGCAAGACCAGATTTTCTTTTTCTTTTTTTTTGGGGGGGGGGGGGATTCGAATTCAGCCCCAATTATCCCAGGTCACTAATAAGGCGTGGAGGGTGTGGAGGCACTGGGCTGTGCCGCAGTGGCCTGGAGGCTCGGTGGCAAATTGAAACGACTCGGGAAATAGAGGCAGACGCTGAATCTTGCCTAATTGCAGCCGGAGTGTGTGGCTGGCTGCTTGTGTGTGTGTGTGTGTGTGTGTGTGTGTGTGTGTGTGTGTGTGTGTGTGTGAGAAGAAATGCAAGCTATGAGGGTCTAAGAGAGAGAGAAGATGAGAGGCAACACATAAATAAAAAAGAACGGGAAATGGGGATGAAATGAGGGACGGAGACTGAAGGCTGAGTGACAGTTGAGTGAGATTGGGTAAAGTCACGAACTCAAGAGAATGAGGGATTTTCTTTCTGGCCCTTTTCTTACCCTCCCTTTTCTTTCCCTAACACGCTCGCACCCTCCACCCTCATCAAAGTCTTGACAGCTGACTTCTGGCTGCACACATCAGAGGGAGCAGAGGAGGAAAGAGAGAGAGAGAGAGAGAGAGAGAGAGAGAGAGAGAGAGAGAGAGTAGCAACCAAAGCTGCTGCTCTAGCAACACTTTCTTTCATGTTCTTTGACCAGGGCATGAGGTTAGAAATGACTCTCAGTGTACTGAAATTAAACATAACTAAAGCATGTTCTTTCAAAGTACTTAGATATATTGGATTTTATGAGGTGTTCAAGCTAAATTGACTCATGAAGTCTTTTTCTGTCACAAGAACACCTTCTTAGGAGTCTGAAGAAGTTGACTCATGCAGTTTTATGGCAGTTTGCAAAAAATGTGCAACTCCAAGGCCCAAGGATTTTAAAAGACCATCTTTGTTATGGGTGCCCCCTTGCCCCCCCCCCACTGTGGAAAAAAATGGCAGTGGCTGAAATGGGAAAAGAAAGTCTCAGGGCATGTATGTGTCTCGGCTAGATAACTATCTCCAAAAAGGCTGTGAATCAGCAGGCTTAGTCAGACAAAAAGACTAACAGGAAGCAAGAAAGAGAGAAAGGAGTAAAAGTGCACATTTCGAGGGCAAAAAAAAAAAAAAAAAACTGGGGCTGAGAAGAGACAGAAAACTCTAATTTCACATTGTCAGAGTAATGACTTCCAGAGAGCTGTTGCAGTGTGGTTAGAGCCAGCTGTGCGGCAGGCCGAGTGTTTGACATGCTAAAGATAACCAAGACAACTGACGTCCAGCCACAAAACATAGCTCGACTGCTCCACTCCTGGTTTGCCTCACAGGCAGAAAAACTCAGTTGAAGCTATAAAATATGTAGATATGAACATTATTAAGTCAATGTCCACCTAGACTGATGCACTTTACGTTGTTATGCTGAATATTCTTTATTATGACTGCACAATGCTTCTGAGCCTCATTTGTTTGAACTATCAGAAAGAAAGTTGTCCAGATTGTGTCTTCAGTTTTAACAGCAAAACGTCCTTCCAGACGTTCGGTATAGACGAGGCACAGATGGGGTAGAGGCTACTGCAGATGAAAAGAAATAGACAAACGAGTTCATTTAAAGATGTTTTTTTGGCGTCTACACCAAGCTAACCTCAATCCAGCTCTTTGGGATCTGCATAAATTGAGGGCTCGAGGAGTTGTGGCAGTATCCTTGGTATTATGCATATTAGTTTAAGGCTGTCACTGAGAATCAGCAAGGGTGTCCATCCTGCTGCGGCTAGGCGCTGCTAATTATTGGATCAGAGATAAAGTGCTTTTTAGCGCTCGCTCTCTCTGAGCTCTGAAAACCGGGCTGTGGCGAGAACAAAAAAAATAAATAAAGCAAAGAAAAGAAAAGAAAAGCAGCCCAATTTTGAGTTCAGAAAGAGCCACTGGGTCAGGAATCGACCAAGTGGAAAACCTTTGTCTGCTTTGGGGGTGATTTCGACGTAAGACCAGATTTGTGACATCTGCCCGGCTTTTTCTGCAGACGAAAAGGGAGCGGAACAACAGGATGCTGCCAGACTCCGAGGGAGGGAGAGGAAAAGGAGAGAGAGAGAGAGAGAGAGAGGAGGAGATCCAGAGAGAGTAAGAGATAAATGAAATAGAGTTAGCTTTGCCACATATTGGGAGTGCTAATCCTCCTTTTGACATAAAAAAAAAAAAAAAGGACAGGTGAGGGTTTGACACATCATTTAAATCAATATACTTCAACATATCATTCACATGTAAGAAATGACTGCAGAGTGCCTTTGTTATGAAGGCATTATAGACACCCTGGAAACCCCAGATACCGTGAAATCTTATTAAGGTATAGCATCTCATTATGTTCCTGCTAAACAAGCTGCTGAATCCATGCTCTGCCTCACAAAGATGCAGAGACAGACAACACATGTAGTCCATATGGTGCTGAGCTGACATCATAGCATCCCCCAGCAGTGAATAAAAAAAAAAGGTTCTGAGTTTGTAATGCTGTTTTCAGATGTATTATTTAGACCGTTTTTTTTTTTTTTTAAAAGACCACAAAGAGAATGAGCTGTCTGATTTATTGAGCTATTTTTCACTCTTTTTTTTGACACTTTTTCAATTAATTATGAAGAAAAAAAAAGCCATAAACCTCTGACACAACATCAGAACCTTTCATCCAGCCATCGCTTGAAGCTGAAACATTCACTTTCAGCAAACACACACACACACACACACACACACACACACACACACACACACACACACACACACGGAAACACAGAGAAAATCCGAGGCCTATTGTGCAGAGGCCACTGAGCAAACTCCACACACAAAGCACAATCCCTCTTCAGGCCTTTAACACCACCGACACAATGACTATGGCGAGGTTAGGGTGGACCTTTTTTAGGATTAGTCTGTGAGTACATACTCTCAAGTCAGTGTTTAGCAGTTTAAAAAAAAAAAAAAAAAAAGCTTTGACATGTATTGAACTGATCAGACAGGGGAGGCAGATAGAGGGGGGGTTTGTCTTACCATTTTCTCAGATGTACGCCGTTTTCATTCTCTGGCCTGTACCTGCAGAAAATGGCATCTTTTTTTAACAATTTTGGACGCAGCTTGACGGCATAGATCTTTACCGTACAGATCAAAAAATAATAATAATAAAAAAAAAAAGTACTGACATTCTACTTTTAAGATGTAATTCTCAATGGATTAGAGTTGCAGTGCTGAGAGGAGGCTCATAAGCGCAGCTAAACAAGGTCAGCAGAAAGACAGACTGTAGTGCAGCAGGCAAACAAATAGTGCAAAGCCTAGAATTGGTAAGTAGTCGTTAAGAATGGACAGACTAATCCCAAAGTAGGTGTAATGTGCAGAGAAGGGACAAATGGATGGAGGGATGTGCACAAAAATAAAAAGAGTGTGAGCTAACTGAGTGAAGGACTATGCTGCCTGCACAGACTTAAGCCAGCCTACTGAAGCCAGAGAGAGGATAGTAGATCTGTCTAATGTGAGATTGTCAAGGCCTCATGGGAAATCTGTTGTTATTTTAGAGCTTTAAAGAGGGTGCATTTGTAAAAAAAAAAAAAAAAATGCAGTGAAGAAGCTTTGAAGGAAATGGAAAGATGGTGCAACTCACAACTTCGAGATGTAACACAAAAAAAAAAAAAAGGAAACAAGGAAACTAGTGGGAGTGTGTTCTTACCCGGGGCTGATTCCTGCATCTTCTCCCTCTTCCGCTTCTTCTTCTTTCCCTAAAAAATATACAGAGGAACACATAAAGTGTGGCTCCAGCACTCACGCTCACTAGACCACTCTGGTATCCTGCTGCTGACTGCCATGTTCACTCATCCCCTGCTGGGCATCCAACCAGCATCCCTCGGTCTCCAGACTCCATCGCAAACTGCCTCGCTGAGAGAGGGACGGAGCAGGCTAAGCTGAAGTTAAGTGTGCTCTCTACCTGCTTTCAGCTGCTTATAATGACTTTTTTTTTTTTTTTTTTTTTTACCATTTTGAGGCCTGTTTTGAGTAGGGGGCATGCTAACAGTATAGAGGTAGCTCGTCCTGCTGATGTGACCCCTTCTGCGTCACATTTCTGCTGCCTTTGAAGTTCCTCTAATGACAAATATTAACATGAAGTGCAATTAAAAATGCTCACTGTAATTAGGCTAGTCTGGCTGGATGACTGTGAAGAGCACCACTCTTCTTCCAGCGAGGTGGTGGGAGTGTGTAAGGATTTATAGCTTATGCTAAATCCCCAGGGGGGAGACTATAGGTATAGATAGCAGCGCGGAGTTGTCCTAGTCAAATATGAGCAGCACTTTGGTTTCCTGCTGCAAAGTCTGCTAATCCACTTATTCATGAGCTAATCTGCCTTCTACTGCTGCGGCAGACAGGGGAGAAGAGAGACTAAGTGAGAGTGGGTGAGAGAAAGGATGAGGGGGGGGGTTCACGCAGCAAAACTATGAATGCTACACGCTCTCCATGCCAGTGTGATGACTATTTTTGGGTGTTTCCAGGCATGATGTGCAGCAGCTGAGGAGTTTGTTTGTGGGAGGAGTCAGGGAAAAGCACTCACACGCTTACAGAATTCACTTTGAGAAGTGTTTTTCCTTTAACGTATCTGCTCATTTTTTTAACTCTGTAGTATGCCAAGTACTGTAGAAAGCAGTACATTTAACTTGTTTTTTTTTTCCCCCCCTTTCCAGCCTGTCAGATATATTTGTGCACAGAAAAAAGGTATCAAATGAAATGAGAGCTGTGCGCCGTCATTCCCCGTCTTCCCCTCTCAGGGAGGCATGTTGGCAGTGGAGCAGCGGAGGCAAGAAGGAGGAGGGATGCTGTCGGTGTCCGAGGGGAGGCAGATAAACACCACAAAGCACTTTGGTGGTGGAGTGAACGTGAGTGCCGGAGCCACACTTTTAATAAAAGGCCGGTGCTCACTCACAAATCCATACATACCACACACACACACACACACACACACACACACACACAGAGACAGAACTTCCAAACAAACGTACAAACACTGAACACACGCACCACAAACATCTGAAATCCAGACGAACACCCCGCGTTCACACGCTAAATGGGCAGCGAGAGGAGCAAAGGTTGTTGCCGCTCTACTCTGTATGCAGGACGCAGCGGCTTAAACCCAGTCTAACAGCTGCTTTTTACATCCATGCTGATATGAAACATCAAAGAGTAGCAGAACCATCACCAGGTAGTTTCACTGTGGTAATAATAATGTCCATGATACTATGATCCATTCTAGTGCGGATGATATTATAATGTATGAATTACACATAAGGCTGAAACAATGGGTCTGCAAATGGACTCCATTAGCATGGAGCTGACTAGCATGAATTAATGTGTCTATGGGTGTCATTCTTAGCCATTGGAAGAACAAGTCATGCAATGCTGACACAAATACACAGTCACACACACACACACACGCACGCACACACACACACACACACACACACACACACAGTCACACACACACGCAGGCGCACCTCTTCCAATCTGTTCTGTTGATACTTACATAGTTGTCTCGAGCAGACCAGCCTGGGTAGAGCTGCATGTGGAGCTGCCGTTCCTTGCGGGCTAACTCATAATACTTAGCTTGCTCTTCCCGAGATAAAGCATGCCACTGTTTCAGTACAAAGGGAGATTAAGGGGGGAAAAATAGCACACAGTCAATTACTGGCATGCACTTGTATGTTCCCTGCATAGAGAAATGTGCTAGTGTCATGGTAAAACTATTAAAAAATATATATATTTTCTACTTTCAAACATTTGGGGTTACAAAGCGGGGATAAAAGAGAGAAAAGAGAGAAAAGGCAGAAGGGAGGGGGGTGGGGGGGGTACATGATGAAGCGATTAACATACAGAGTCAGAGAGTGAGGTGGGGGAGACTAGAAAGGCAAAAAAAAACTTTGATTCCATATCAAAACACTGGTTCCAATTTAGCAGCGCTTTTTATTCAAACTATGTCAGCGAGCAATTACGCCACACAGGCCACAAACTGGGCTTTGCTGTGGCTGGCTGCGTCGACCGCTGGGCCTATTCGTTAAGGCTTTTAACATGGCTCTGTGGTTCCACTCTTTTCCCAATCCTCAAAAGGAACAAATTTTGTCATTTCCAACCGTGCCATTATCCAGGCATGTTTTATTAAAGCCAATTTGATTAAATGTCAGTTAGATAGGCAGACCGGTTCTGTGCTGCTGAGAGGGGAGTAATTGGCCGGGGCAATCATTATAGAAATAATCACAGCGAGTTCAGAAAAGACTGTATGTTAATAAAAGGAGGAATCTTTGTACTTTTTAAGCTAATTGGGCCGGGGGAAGGCAAGTCCATGCTGCCGCTTTAGAACCATGACTTGAACCGTGATCTCCTGCTGATTGAACTAAATCAACAGATAAACTACAGCCGCGGAGAAGAATCAGACGGGTGTGACCTACCCTTCGTCCCAGGATCTGATTGATGGCGGCGCTCTCCTTCAGCGTGCACTCGGCGACCACATTGGCACGCATCTCTTTCATATAGAGCATGAAGGCGTTTAGCGGCTTCTTGATGTGCGGTCTTTTGGGCTCCTGCTCCTTTCTCTGTTCGTGCTGGGGTTTCCTGTAGAACATGTTTTTTTTTAAAACAGGGATGGAGGTAAGTAAGGAGAAAACTGGAGAATGAGATTAGATTGTGGTGCCTCAATGGCGACAAAAACAGCAAGGTTCTAGTTCAACCTCAGCCAATTGGGAGTCAGCGTGAGAGGGGTTACCACGCCATGGGCCTCGGCCCCTTTAATCATGTGCAGTTGCATAGTTGTAGCCCTTCATGCGGAGAGATTACTTCACCAGTAATGACAACCAAACCTTCTCCACATCAGCGATCGTTTAAAACCAAAAGCTGCTCTGCTCTCTCTCCTGACTCACTTTCTAATAACCTTTTTGATGCTTGTACAGTCTTGGAGCTGGGCTGGCCATGAATAATGGAAATATCAGTGATAACCACTTCAGGGCGCTCGCAGCACTTCCCACTGCGCACACTGGGGATGTGAACTGAGTTCATCCCAGCACTAATCTAGGACCTGTATCTGTTGCTGGCTAAGTGTGTTGTGATCCCTGAGGCCGAATGAAGCAGAGGGGCCCGTTATCAGCCGAGCACGGGCCCTCGCCGCTTATCTGCTCACATCAAGGGAATGAGAACAAGGCTCTGACAGAGAGTTTGTCCTGCTGTAGAGGTGGAGTGCACAAATACCTGGAAGTGTGTCATCTCAGAAAACGACCGATAGAGCGAGAGGAGGAAGAGAGGCTGGAGCTTTTTTAAATGTGTGTTTAAAGAGAGTGTTTTCACGACAGTATGTTTTGTGTTTATGCGGGACTCACATGTGCATGATGTCTGTTTCATGCAGAGGCTCGTGTTTGACCTGCGGGTTGACGATGGCCGGGTGGGGGATCCCTGTGGCGTGGGGACCTGGGGGGCCAGGAACCATGTGGTGTGAGAACCTGCAATAACAGCAACAGTTTCATTACTCAAAGCTATGAAGAAGGACAGTAGCAGGGACACTTTGCACTAAATATCACCTACAAAAATGTACACAGACAAGTAAACAATCCACCCTGAGAGCTAAAATTCAGCTGAATTTCTGGACAAAACCATGGAACAGAAAGTCACTGACTATGGTTATCATGCATGCACGGATTCCATCAGCCTCTCTGCAGAAATATGAGAGCAGAGCGGAGCAGCAGAGTAAAGCTTTAATGTCCCAGAGGGGCAATTTGGCTCACAGACAGCAGTCAATAATATTATAATAATATCCTGCTGTTCACAGTAAACAAGAACACATGAAAACTGAATGAGCGGGGCTGTTCCTGAGATGACAACCCAGCGGGGAAATACGACACTAAAAGTCTTCCATTGAAAATTGGAGATGTGTTTAAGATTGTTTGACTTTAATCCAATATAACTTTATAAACGTGCAACCTGTAACAATTGGTTACATGGTTTTTAAGAAAGGTATAATTGGTTTATAAGATCATCTTGTTTTCTTGGCACTCTTTCCAGCTGTGCTCCAAAACATCCAAAGAACGTTAATAAGGTATAAAGTCAGGAAACTAGGAGCTCCCATGAGTTGTGCTTGTGTTTCACTGCAGATAAATACCAAAGCAGGGTTGGAAAAGTACTTGTTGTGGGCATTAGTAGCATGCCATGAAATATATATTTGTGCTGAACATGAGGAAGTCTTTAGATATGTTTTCCCCATCTGGTCATCGTCTCAAACTTTGCAATGCCTTCTTCTGTAATGACAAATAGACATCAGTCCGTTAGTGGGTCCGTAATGCTTGTTTCCCCTGTTTCCATTGTGTTTCATTTCTCTTATCTTTCAACACTCACTTCACCATGCTGTGGTTGTGTTTGAAACCCAATGCTTTCTGGGTTTTTGTGTGTTTATCATGGGGGAACATGGCTGTGTAGCATGAAACTTTAGAACCGTTCAGTATTGCAAAAGCGATCTTTGATGCTGGATATTTACTGCGACCATCGATCAAAAAGTCAGAGAAGTTTCCTTTTCAGCTAAAAAAGTCCTTCATTGGTAAAAAGTTTCTTTAAAAAGGCTAATCGACTGTAGGTGTTGAGGTTTAAGAGGCTCCAAGGAGGACGGCTGGAGGAGACTGTCTGGGCTTCAACTGTCGCCTGATCCTGCACCTTACATCTGGCTTCACTCAAGCGTTTGCCTAAAGCCCCGTCTTTACCAACATCACACTGACACAGACAAGGACAGATGGAAAGAAGAAAGACAGAGGGTACTAGAAAGTTCAGAAAAGAGACAAAGAAAGCAGAGCATGGAAGTGAATAAGGATGCAGTACAAAAGGAAGAGTAAAAAAAAAAAAAAGAAGAGCAGAAGCTACTAAAAAAAAGAGTGTCTCGTGAACATGAAGTGAGGCTCAGAGGGAGAAGTGCTTCCAGAGAGCTTTGATAGGGGTTAAGCAGACATATGGTTATGCAGGGGCACGTATGTGGTGATGTGTTTGACATGTGCTGGGCACACAGAGGAGCTGTGCGGCTGAAGCCACAGCAGTGCAGCAGGAAGAGCCAGAGGCAGACCTCCCCTGTGCTGCTGCTGCTGCTGCTGCTGCTGCTTCTGCTGCTGCTGCTGCAGGCCTGCAAGTCCAACGTTCAAGCACACAGAGTGAGAGAGTGTCAGAGTGCATCTGATGTGAAGAGACAGCCAATTGACTCCTCCTGTTTTTGTTTCTGAGACTCACCATCCCAGAGGTGGTGTGATCTGGCCTACTCCTCCGGGAGACAGGGAGTAGAAGTTTGGCATGTCTTGTCCAGGGTGATGCCTCTGCATTCCTACACAAACAACAATCGAACACAAAAGTTAGAGAGTAATTAACAGAACGTTTGATATAGAATCCAGATTTTTAATCATACCAGCATCATGTGGATGAAAGTATAAAGCAAAAGAACCCTGTAGCATCAAGAATAGGCGGTGCCCACGTTTGCAAGATGTTTTAAGTACAGCAGCCCTAATGCTTAGAAGAAAAACTTGAGAAATTGTTGAGAGACCACGACGGTCTGGTTTGTGGCCTTCATTTTCTGAAAACATTAGGCTTCATCCAGTATTAGACGAGACTTTTAAACAATAAACATGCAAGAAAAACATATTCAACAGCCAACCAATCAGAAGCACACGGATTAAAAACTTCTATCTTCAAAAGGCTTTGTCAGATCTGGTTTATAATTATTTTTAGTAAGTCATCATTTTTCCATTGGATAGTATATGGATCAGTAGTTTGTGAAGGTGAGGTATCAGGATCTGTATCAGGTGAGAACAAGTTGCATTGGTGCATCCATAAAATGAGCAAAAAAAAGTGTCAAGATTTCCTTACCAGCTTATATTAATGCGGGCGAGGAAGACTAAAAGATGAATAAGCTAATCAGTGTAATTTAAGATCTTACTCTTTGTTTCACCCTTCAGTACAAGTCAAGGAGAGTGCACATGTCAGGGCCTCTCGACCTCACATTATCATCCCGACATAGCAGAGTCCTTCCACTGTGTTTCAGCATCTTTAAGCTGGTTAATTGAGGCGTTCTCTTTATGTCAGAGGCTGCAGCTCTCCCTCCAGACAAGGGATTGACTCAGACTAACTGTCGGTGGATCTTCAGGAATAAGCTCCTCCATCTCCAGCTTGCCTTCTCCAGCTGGGTTTCAAGGTCCGGGGGTCATTTTTTTTTTGCAGGAAGATTTAGCCGAGGACAGGAACGCAAGATAATCTATATTCAAGGAAATCTGTAACGACCAATGTCCTCTTGTTTTTCATTTGACAACATGCGTTATAATACGATTGAAAGCGTGTAGATGTTTGGACATAATATTCGTACACACACAACTTTATGGGTGCTTTAACACACACACACCCACACACACACACACACACACACACACACAAAGAAAAGAGGGCAAATGCCTCCAGATTAGCACCATCTTCTAATCCCTGCTGGAGCCAGCCTTTTCTCCCGGCCTTCTATCGCTTCTCTCCGTCTTTCTCTCTACAGGCCGTGGTCTGAAGGGGCCTCCCTCCTCAGAGAAGCAGAGCGAGGGGTGGGGTGGGAGTAGGGGGCTTATATCGCCAAAGCCAATGTTGCAACGCCGGATTCATAGCGTGCATAGCACTACCCCCTGCCCACTAATCCACCGCGTTACAATCCTGAGGGCCCTCCTGAGGGCAGAAGGAAAGGAGGCGAGGGTGGGAGGGTAGGAGGCAGTGAGGGAGCAGGAGGAGGCGCAGAGAGCCCCGGCGTGTTAACCTTGTCACTCACACCCCTTAAGGTGCCTAATTACTCACTGTGCTGTTCACACCTTCCTGCTGAAAACCCAACAACCCCCCCCCCCCCCCCCCACTCGCGTGTCCTCTCAAAAAAGGAAACACTAACATGATTCTCATTGCTACATGTGGAAATAATCAATATTCAAATTACTTCTCCTTTGTAATATTTCAATTCTTTTACACATACAGGGTTTAGATCTATGATGTTCAAAGACCCCCCCCCCCCCCCCCCAAAGCCCTGCGTCCGACCTTCCATCCTGCATTGCGGCCCTGTGCATATTAGAGCTCATAATGAGAAAATCCATGATTGTTTTTCATAATTAACGAGCAGATCAAAGTCTGAGCCCACGAAGGAAGGCAGAGCAGCAAATGGTCGATATTAGAGAGAGAAACACACAGATAGAGAGAGAGAGAGAGAGAGAGAGAGAGAGAGAGAGAGAGAGAGAGAGAGGGAGAGGAAGCAAAAAAAACAAGAGAATAAGAGAGATTTGAAGCAATCTTCATCACATGAATGTGCCTTGAGAAATCTTTTGCGGATATCTGGCGACTGGATCTCTTGGACTTTCTGCTGGGCCGGTGATGAAAAAGATCAAATACAGCCAAAAAAAACTCAGCACGACAGAGGACCAACACAGAAAAACGGAGCGCACCACCTCGTAAATTGTACTACATGACAACGACTTTCTGAAATCTAATGCTTGCATGTGTGCACCGTGTTTTATTGCTCAATTCCGTGTCAACACAAAAATCTTTCCTGCTTCCATTAGGAAAATATTCAACAAACTGTGTCTGATGTATGATTCCTCTGACATATGTGGAGCAAAGATTCTTTAAACAACTCTCACTCCCTTCATCTCGCTGTGCGGTGTGCTTAGTTCTACATTGTTATTTATAGCCGGTTCCTCAGAACCTCCCAGCCTCATCCTCATCTTCTTCATTGCCTACATCCTGTCTGATCCCTCTCCTCCTTTTCAACTAGCAGCCGCGGGAGAAGAAAAAGCCAAAAGAAGAAGACGAAGAAGAAGAAGAAGGAGAAGGAGAAGAAGAAAAGGTGCGGGGACAAAACTGCAGAGGGCCCACGTCTTTTTCAGTATTAGTGAGAAGCTGCCAAAAGTCTCCAGCTGTGCGGGGCCGAGGAGGCAGAGGAGGCTCGTCCTCACTGCGGAGCTGCTCGTCTGCAGCTGTCAGAGCGGAGCTGTGATGTTGTTACTGAGAGGCACAGAGAGCAGAGGGAAAGAGGGCAGAGGAGCTCAGCGCGTCGTCCCACAGGCTGCTTCAAATGAGTTCATGCGAGGAACAGAGAGAAAGAGGGATGACTTTGCTCTGACATTTTTTTTTGTTTTTTTGTTTTGGCTTGATGGATCCCTGACAGTTTTGACAGGTAGGGATGTAAGAATAAACTCTGGTATTAGTTCAGTTTAACACCAACTGAGTTTTTTATTCAGTATTTATGCTCAGTTTGAAGTAAAGTTACAAAATATGTTGAAGCCGAGAGAGACAGAGCTTCGGTGTTTGATATGTATCTGCATTACTCTGGGTTGAGGTATCAGCCCGTCTTTTGTATTCACCAATTTTATTGAATTTTACAAACTTACAAACAAACAAACGAAACATACTGATCCTCCCATGCCAAACTCATCTGCCCATTATAAAAAGCAAATCAAGAACCAAAATACTAAACTGACCTCGAAGTTGCAGTTACAGATAACCAGGGAATATAAAGGCTGTAGCCTATACGTGTGCAAGTTCTGATATAAAAGAGAATATGTGACTCTCTCATTGGCTGCTAGATGAGCCACAGTTGTAGCCCATTCTTCATAAGTTCTTTAAGTTCCATATTTGAGCCCAGCACAACCAGCCTAGCAGAGATGAGGAATTTCATCTTCTGTACTTCATGAATGACCTTACTGATATTGTTCCACCAGTGTTTCAGTGCAGAGCATGTCCTCAGTATGTCCTCGCACAACTGTTCCTGCACCAGATGGTGAATATTGGAGGTTGTGTATCTACACGATGAAGATTTAATAAGCAGTTAATCGACGGGGGGGAACCAGTGGGGCAGATAAGAGGACTTCTTGACCAATGAGAGACAAAGTGCTTTGACTTTGGGTATATATCTTCAGAGTTAGTTACCTGCTAACTTGTACTTATCTACAATATGGTTGAAACTTAGGAATTGCTTAGTACGCCAATCAAATAGATCTGATACAAATGGTGCGTTCCATTTAACGCAGAACTCGGAGCTAGGAGTGACATCACACCCGAGTTAACCGCGTCCAGTTGCAAGTCAGACAAGCAACATGGACGCCTCCAGGAGTACCTTTGTTTTGTTAGCTAATACCTGACCACAACTACACAATGCGTAATTGATTGTGCGCAAAAATAACAATGACAACATGTCCACAGACAGAACTTACATCATACTAACGGTGTGATTGATTTATTTGATAAAAACAAGACTAAGCTGCTCGTAATCATTATAGCTTAAACATTACTGCTGATGCACGTAGCAGCCATGTTGGATTTTAACTCGGGCCACTGAAGGTTCTCTGAGTTTGCGAGTCAGAATTCCTACTTCAGATGTGTCAGCCCAGTAACTCTGAATTTCAAATCTGAGATCAAATGGAACGCACCAAAATAAAATACCAGCTGTCCTCCAAAGTGAACAGGTTTATCCCCAGTGAGGATTCTGTTGTTGTTCCACACAGGTGGACAATAACAGGATCTTCTCACTGTTACACTGTTTTTGTACGGAGTGGATCTGACCATGGAGTTGATCCATCACATAAGTTTAGTCCCTATCTGTAACAACCTGGGTTTGTCTCTCACTTCATAGCATAGTTACCATGTTCTTATCTATCTTGCATTGATAGCCAAGTAATAACATTTAAAAAGTCAACAGTCGGAGAGAGGAAAAGAGAGAAAGAAATAGCCAAAGAGACAAAGAGACACACACTGTCACCCATACACTGACAAACATGCTTTCAAACTTTTTTGGTTTCCTTGTTAGTTTTTCATGATTTTCCCGTTTTTAATTAATTTGTCATTTGATGCTTTTGCACTATTGTCACAACTAGATTCATGCTAATAAAGTATTCTGATCTGAAATAGAAAAAAAAAAGAGTGATAATAATAATAAGTCCCTCTTTTTCTTGCAAGTCTAGCTCAAATGGGAAACCTAAAGAAAGTTCTTCCCGTCCATTTGGAAAATGTTGTTGCTGCTGACTTTTTGATGCCAAAAGGTACAAAGAAAATAACTTCTATAGAGCATGAAATCCTTCACAAAGTTATATTATTGCTGTGCTGTGTGTATTGTTTTGCTTTGTTTCTACCTTGTTTGTTGTTGGCATCCTGAGGGTGATGACCAGAATGGGACCCTGGGGCGAAGTGCTCGTCGCTGTACGTGATCAGCGGGGTAAGAGGATGGACTGCATGGGACGGCTGAACCACGGGGACTTTGTTGGACTGTGGAGAAAAAAGAACACAAGAAGATTAAAAAAATATGAAAGACAGATGAGAAACATATGGTTTAACTGCATTATTCCATAAGCATTGTGGTCGTTCTCCATGCCACATGATCTGGGGGACTGGTACGGCTTCATGTAGTGCGGGTGGTCTGCTTCCTTACAGATGGTGGTGAAGCTTAATAGTATGTTCATGAAAGAAAGTTACCAACTCTTATTACTTCTCTTTTTAGCACCTCAAAACTTTGTTCAGCCTAGGTCAGCAGGACCAAAAAAAAAAATAATAATCATACTCCCTGAAGAAAGGAGAAAAAACAAGCCCAAGAAGTCTATGCGCATGTTTGAGACAGCAAAAGAGAGAACGAGAAAGATGCAGCCAGAGCTGGAGCGAAGGGGAGCAAGCGAGCGATAGGGCGAACAGAGGGGAGAGAAAAGAGAGATTCACAGGGTAGAGTTAGAGCAGAGGTCTTAGGCGGGAGATCAAAGGCAGTCATTAGCTGGTGAATAAGGGGAGTTCATTACAGAGCAAGAGCCGGGGGAAGGAGAGATGAGGGATGGAGGAGGAGGAGGAGGGGGAGGAGGAGAGGTGGGGGTCGGCTATGGGGAGAAGGAGAGAGAGAGCGTGAGTGAGACAGATGTCTGCAGCGGTACTTATTGCAGGGGTAATCACGTCAACAGTGGCCTCCCATCCCCGGCTGACTCACAGAGACCTGCCTCCTCCTGACAACCAAAATAGAGCGAGCCAGGCCCAGAGTGCCCCGGCACCAACCCCCGCCCCCCTCCCCCCCCTCCACCCCCAGCCGACAGCGCTTACATGCTTCAGCAGAACTGAACACATGGTAATGCTTAGCCATGCTAAATCTACTGTTCAAAATCTGAGCCCAGGGCTGAGCCGAAGTCAAAATATCACCTCCACAGGATGTCAGGCTAATCGGAGAAGACATCAGTTCACAATTGGGTGAGACATGCTTACACTGAACCCCGCCCACAAGTTCGAATCAAAGAGTTTCTTGAAATTATAAATCAGGGGGGGGTCTCGTGGGAAAAGCACCTGATCTAAAATGTTGCAAAGAGTCTTTTTTTTTTTTTTTTTTAGGATGAGCATAAATATCAGAAGAGACAATACTATCAAGGGTTCTCCTTAAGCTTTAACCTTAGTGCCCTGTCCGCCAAGGTGACATTCCTGCAGTGCAAAGTGGTGATTGGTGCCCCCCTTCGCCATCTCCGACCACACATACGCAAATACACAAAACCCCTAAGCCACAAGGGTGGCTGGAATGTCTGTGTTACCCCCGAACCTCTCACAGACTGGCACTGCTCTCAACTTAATACTCCCCTCCCTCTCGCCACCCCCAACCTTCTGGGAATGTCAAAACCAGCAACACAAAAGGCCAGTATGTGTGGTGTGTGCGTGTGTGTGCGTGTGTGTGTGTGTGTGTGTGAAATAAAAGAGGTCACCTTAACCACATGACATGTCATCCACATCAGACGCCTTATCGGTCTGGGAATCTCATCTCCTTGGGCCATTTTCTTTCCCAGTCCTGCTCTCGATATGAGCCTCATTCCGCAGCACAGTCCTCTTTAAACCATGTGAGATGGCACACGCTGCCTGCTTCAGCCAAAACAACAAAAATCCTGCCTGAAAACTAATTACACCATAAGGCTTTACACATTAGCCCAGGTGAGTGTGGGTCTCTGACCCCGGTCAACAAGAGTCAAAGGTGATGGGGATAATCTGCGAGTGTGGGAGTGTCAGACCTCATCCAAAGGATGGGAGGGATTATAAGGAAGGCCTGCAAACCCTTAAGGAGGGCTAACCAGGACTGGGATTCCTGGGCCATGCCTACACCAGGGGCTAAATGATAGCATTCTCGCCCATATTATTTTACGCCTCTCCACTCCCGTTAGTTATCCTGTGGGAATGAGATAAGAACCTGAGGGATTCCCATTTATCTTAAAAGTCTTCTCCAACTTGAAGAAGAGAAAATGGAAACAAAAGTTAGTCTCTCTCATTCTGCATCACATATACATATACTACAATAGTTTAAAAAAAAATGTGATGGACTCCTTCGCAGCTTTGGAAGCTAGACACTCTTGCCCCAGAAGTGGAGAAGTTTTTCAGTGCTTTTCTTGGTTACAGCTGTCAAATCTGATTCTTCACAACTTCTTAATAAACTGCCCTCCATTGTGGACAAATCCACCAGAGAAAACCTGCAAACGTCTGTGACCAATGCAGAGTTTATGGCCATTTACTTAAACTGCATGCCATAACTAACCAAGTTTACATCCAGAAGAAAGCAGTGAGCTTTCAATGAGGCTTCTATCTAAACATCCATACAGTATGATGGGAAAAACTCTACCAGGGTTAAGTAAAGCCTGATCACGTGTTGACTGCTTCAAGTTAAAATGACTGTGGTTGCATGCAAACAGCCATCATGGAGCCACAGATTTCATTCCAGGCAGAGACTTGCAGCTCGCAACGAGTTCACAAACACAAACGCAAAAAAGCATGATACCGTTTGGTTGTGACCAAAACCATAAGGGTCACGCAACATCAAAAAATTTGATCCCCTCTCATCCCCATCCTGACTGCAAGAGCCCTTAGATAGAGCAGCAGCAGCAGCAGCAGCAACGGTGGTGGTGTTGCAATGCAGGGCAGCCATATTGGCGATCCCCTTTTATTGTATAGAAGAAATAATAGGCTTAGGATCTTTCTATTCATATTTTTCAGCGAGAGTAAAAAGGGAAGGGCGGCAAGCACTGAAAAGAAAACGTTCCATTTGGAATTTCATTTCCAGGCTTGGCCCTTCTAAAGAACCTGTTAGATGTGGTTTTAAGAGAAATTCATTGTGTGGAACTGGAGCTGGCAGGGAGCCCTCCATGGAGGAGACACTTCAGTGTGTTTCAGCATGGGGAGCCAGTGACTTGGCATGTTGTCTGAAATCTGGGGGTGGGGAGGGGAAATAGGACATTTATTTTTTGTTTCTGTCTTTTTTTTTCTGGGGGAGGATTTTTGTGACGGCACGGCGTCTCTGAGCTTTGTATTCTGTCAGACTCCGCCATCATCTCGCCGTGGTTCCTGCGCACGAGTGTGTGTTTGCAAGTGTACAGTACATGCAATAACCGTTTCTGCAATATTGCCTTTTTGGCGTCTCCCTCTCTCTTTCCCCTTGCAGCACGGCTTTTGTACTTCACTCAATTATACCACTTCTGCAGAGTGGAGTGGAAAAAAGGGAAAGCGGGAATTTTATAATAATCACTTCCCACTTCTGTAATTTATATGCAATGAGGACTCTTTGCGCCTGCAGGTACTATCAAGTGTGTGGAAACCATGTGAGGTGTTTCACAAACAGCTGGGGAGATAGCAGCTCAAGTGGTGGCGATGGATTCCCATGCTGCTAAATCTTTCCACTAAGAAGCCCTTGTCACCCTGAAACTCAGCATCACCTAACTCGCGGGATTTTTTTGCCCTCTGAGGGAAAACGTTACACCATAATGATGGCCAGGCTGGTATCTGGAGTACAAATTGATGGGGCAAGAAACTGTTGGGCAATTGCATTCAGTATCATCAAGAGTTGACTGTAAATATGAACTAAAATAAAAGGATTCCAACTACTTCAAGAAAACCTACCTCATTAAAGTAATTGAGAGCACCCGCCTTCTTATAATTTGCTTAAATACTGTCTTCTGCTTTTGTTTCCACTGGCGTTGGAGTCATAAAATACACAGAGTTGCAGATTGAAAGCCGTCTTAATCCAAAAGGTGCCGAATGAAATAAGGGTGTGCCTTTTGCTTCGATTCCACAGTCCCTCTCAGACCAGGTGTACACTCTCAGGTGTGTTTGTGTACAAGCTGTTTAACCTTTTCCCAACAAAAGTGAGCAAACATTCTCTCAGAAGCTATACAGTACAGAAAAGAAAAGGGACTGTTCCTCCCCCCCCCCTCCCTCTCTTTACCAAAACCAGTGGAGACCAACCTGAGGAAGCTTAAATAAATAACCAATTACCATTCGTAGAACGGGTTGAACCCCACCAGCTTCCAGTGAAGTGCTAAAAATGGAATGTTTTATTGGCAGGATGGCCCCTTGGCCAGGGGCTTAATGTAACGAAACCCAATTAATGGAGAAGAAAGCCAGACCGCCAGCGAGCGACGGAGCGCCACGCGCCCGGGGTAATGAGAAGAACAAGCGAAGCCAACCACAGGGACAGGAGTGGAGGAGGCTACGAATAACAGGAAAAGCCTGCCTTGGAGACAAATTTACATCTGTAAATCTCGCCCCCTCTTCCAATCTGTTCTTCTACCTCTTCTTTCCATTTCCATCATAAATCCTGCGCGCAAGTCTGAGTCCAAAAGTTGTAGAGAACCATGACACTGAAAAGGAGAGGTCAGTCGGGTAAAACTGGAAAAACGCATATGTATGAAAAGCATTTAAACCTAAAGTACTTACTTAGATAGCACAGAGAGGCATGTTGAACATATGCAATGTTATGGTATTACTGGCTAACTTGCAAGACATTTTTATCATGCGAGAAACTTGTCACGCTGTCCTCTAAATACCACAGTAACAGCCACAAAGATGCACAACCAATCGCTTCACATTAGCACACATGACCCAACACATGCCGCTGTAATAACATGGAATCCACAGAAGAAAAACACCATTAAAAAGAACATCAACATCCTGTAAAATACCGTCATGGTACATGTCAAAGGGATCAGAGAATGCAATAACCACGGGTTTAATGAATTTAGCACATACATGCTACATATGAACACAAAGGATCTATTAATAGCTGAATTCTTCTTCCCCATCCCCGCCGCCACCAAGCACAACTGAATAGGTTGAGGTGGATTACCCATCATCCCTCAGTTGGCATCAGGAGCGTGTGCTCGGAGCAAACCAATCACGCTAGCTCTCACAGTGACTTTCTGCATGTGCAAAGAAGATAATTTGTGTGAAATATGCCTGCCCCGGATAAAAGACTTTATCCGCCTTTTTAA